CTTCCCTTAAGATCATGAATTATGAGATCTGTTCAAGGGCAAGCATTGTGACCAGGCTTAGATCACAGTATTACTCAGGCCAAAAATGGCTTCTCATATGTCAAGAAAGCCATGCCTAGTTTTCTTTCTCCGGGGACCCCCTACCCTATCTGCTTACACAAGGAGAATGGGTGGCTCATGCTCAGAAGACATGAACTCCGGGTGGTTTTCAGGGAAGAGTTTTTAAAGGCAACATTTGGGGTGGCGGCTGTAGGGTGTATGACTTTCTTCTGATTGGTTGGTGGTGAGGTAACAGGGTGCTGTTCCAGGAATCTCAAATCACCCTTCTGGTTGAGACCAGTCTGGGGTCTGAGCCTGCAGTTACCATCTTCCACTTGGAATTGTTCCTTTAGAACAATTTGAAGATATGTATCAGATTGTTATGTATATCCCTTGAGGAGGATCTAGGATTCTGTTTTATTGTTGAACTATCTTCCTTGACTGCTTTTCCTTTGTTTCTGCATTCCCTAATTAGTAACTCTATGAATCTGCCCTTTAGAACTCTGGGAAGGTCTAGGAGGCTCAAGCTTTTTTCCTACAAACAAGAAACAGGAAACACGAAGGCTTTTATACATGGAAGGGCCCCGCAGGTTCCTGCTCAGTTTCACTGTCCACTGAAAGAACAACTCAAAAGGGAAAAGTTGTGAGTTAAGTTTTATTCAGGAACCTTATTCAGGGACCTCATAGCCCAAGAAATAGCCTCTTAGTGGCTCTGAGGAGACTGTTCAAAAGAGGCAGGAGAGGAGCCAGGATATATATGAGATTTTTGCCTGGGAAAAACATGTAGTCAAGCATAGAAGGATTACTGCTAATCACAAAGAATAGACATCTCAAATTAATGATTTTAGTGCTCTTCTATGTATAGGAGGATGCAAGAATCTGGGGCCATTTGAAAATTTTCCTTAGTGTGCAATTTACTGTCTAGGGGTCAGTATATCCAAAGCACAGAATGCTTCCTTGTTTTCTCCATCCTGAATTCCCCTCAAGGGTGGGTGACTGCAGTAGCAGTGGCTTGATCCTTGTAGAACTGGAATGGTGGGCAACATTCTTTGCTTACAGTAGGAGTTTTGGAATATGGGGAGAAAAAGAAGGGGAAAAGAGAATGGTTCGATTGATGAGGAGGGTGAGGATAAGGAGGTTGCTGTAGGCTTTGGAAATTGCAAGTGTTGGGGCATGTATGGCAGTGGCTCCTCTGTGGGCGAGTAGTGAGTAAGGCACAAGAACTTGTGCCGTGAGAAGTTGAGTATTTTTAATTTGAGTTGGGTAGATAAATATCAACTTTTACTGATTTTTTTATAACAATCATTATGGCTTGTTTTTTTTCCCCCGTGCTTCTGGTCTACTTGACCCGATACTTAATTGGGAAGGGTGCTAGTTCCAGAGTATGAGGAATCCTAGTTAAAAGATTCCAGGCTTCTTTTTCAGTGTTGAATAAAATTTCAGTGGACTAGTGTGAAAAGGGGGTAAAGTGTTCAGACCTTACATGGTTTAGCCCCTCTCCTGCCACCCTCCCCCTTCTTTTCTGTCCTCAACTCTTATCACTCTTTTGCTTCAACTATAATGTCCTATTTCCTTGCTATTACTCAAACAGGTCAAGGGTGTTCCTGCCTCAGGGCTTTTTACCCTTACGCTTCTTCTGGTACTTTTCCCACAGGTATCGACTAACTTGCCCTCTTACTTTCTTCAGATCTTATCAAATGTCATCTTATTTTTGAGGCTTTCTCTGACCTCTCTATGAAAAATAGCACCCTCTTTCCCCCAGACCCTTCTCTTTATTTCTTTCCCTAACACCATCTGGCATACTGTATGTCCTGTTTACCCCGACTGGAATTTTAAGTTCCATGAGGACAGGCACTAGGTTTTGTTCATTGTTGTATCTCCAGTGCCTGCAGCAGTGCCCTGAACTACACCTAGCACTTAGTGGAATGAACAAATTCTTTCCCTTCTTCTCTTTTAGTATATTTCTACGTGAGACGGCATTTTTGTACCTGAAAAAAACCTTCATTTATTAAGCAGTCCAGTGCTAGAGCTTAATGAGAAAATAACCACCACCACCACCTCCCGCTCCTTTTTTTTCGAGTGCCACTCTTTTGGGTGTTTGTTTTGTTTTTGGTTAGGGAAGCATTGTAACAGGGAAGAGCCAATTTTGACTCCACATTGGATCTGTTTCTTTTACTTTAACCTTTGCTTTTCGTTGCTTTTGTTATTATACATAATGGCCTGACTCAGGGAACCCTGCCCCTCTGCCTGGCTGTTAAACTAAAGTTCCTCTGTTCAGCTCATAGGGAGACAATCTGACCCTGCCCACCTGTGAATGGCTACAGAAAAGAATAAATTAACACAACCCCTCATATTTTGCAAGACGAATGTCCTTTTTACTTTACTTCCTCACCTCCTCCCCATCTCTTCTATAAAAGAAACTGGCATCCAGACCCCGATAAGATGATTTTTTGGAGACCCCAGTCCTCCATCTTCCTGGTCTGCCGGCTTTCCGAATAAAGTCGTATTCTTTGCCTCAACACCTCATCTCCCGATTTATTGACCTGTTGTGCGGCGAGCAGAGCGAGCTTGGACTCGGTAACAGCATCATGCCTATTGAAAAATTTCAGAATGAAGGTGGGCAGGGTCAGAATGTCTCTCTGTGAGCTGAACGAAGGCCTTTTAGTTTAACAGACAGAGGGACAGGGTTCCCTGTGGCAGGCCATTATGTATGCTTACAGCTATAGACAGTGATTATAATAACAAAAGCAATGAAACGCAAAGGTTAAAGTAAAAGAAACAGATCCAACTTGGAGTCAGAATTGGCTCTTCCTCGTTACAGTTTGGGGGTAGAAGTTTTTATAAGCAAAATTTGGGGTGAGGGCTGTAGGGTGTATGGCTTCCTTCTGGTTGGTTGGTGGTGAGGTAACAGGGCAGTGCTCCAGGAATCTTGCACTCAGCCTAAGGTTGCCATCCTCCATCTGGGTGGGGGCCTTTGTTCTACAGAAGAGCTCAGAGATATAGTATCTTCCTTGAGGAGGAGCCAGGATCCTGTCCCAAGGCTTGCACTATTGTTTCTTGACTGCTCTGCCCTTGTTTCTGCATCCTCTCCCTTCCCTGATAAGCAGCTGTTTGAACCTTCCCTGTGGAACTCAGGGAAGGTCAAGGAGGCTGAATGAAGGCCTATTTCCTACAAACAAGAAATGGGGAACAGAGAAAGGCTTTTGTGCCCAGTTCTCACTGCCCGGGACCCCAAAAACATTTGGGAACTCTGGAAGGAAGTAGTTTGAAAAACCTTCATATAGTTCCATTAGATACATTAATATTTTCAGGCTTTACTTTTTTTTTTTTTTTTTCTTTTTTCTTTTTTTTGCGGTACGCGGGCCTCTTACTGTTGTGGCCTCTCCCGTTGCAGAGCACAGGCTCCGGACGCGCAGGCTCAGTGGCCATGGCTCACAGGCCCAGCCGCTCCGCGGCATGTGGGATCTTCCCGGACCGGGGCACGAACCCATGTCCCCTGCATCGGCAGGCGGACTCTCAACCACTGCGCCACCAGGGAAGCCCCAGGCTTTACTTTTAAAAGACTTGGCCAAGCTCTTGTTAAAACAGTCCAGAAAAACAAAAACAGAATCCAGAAAAAAGACTACTTCAGATATTTTAGGTTCAACCTAAATAATATAGTTAGAGGAGAGAGCATTTTTTTTTTCTTGAAAAATTAGTAACACTTTGTTTTCCTTTGTGTAGATGAGTCCTGCCAATTTTTTTTTTTTTTTTGCGGTACGCGGGCCTTTCACTGTTGTGGCCTCTCCCGTTGCGGAGCGGCCTTGGCTCACGGGCCCAGCCGCTCTGCGGCATGTGGGATCTTCCTGGACCGGGGCACGAACCCGTGTCCCCTGCATCGGCAGGAGGACTCTCAACCACTGCGCCACCAGGAAAGCCCCTGCCAATTTTAAAATACCACAATTTACAATTTGAGCATCCACAGTAGGTGGCCCATTATAATTTGAAGAAAAATTTTTTTTTTGCCTCATACTTTTCAAAAACTAAGTTTTAAAGTGTTAAAATGTATAATAATTCTGTGTTATGAAAGTGTGTGTTGTAGTTAGATAAATATGTAGCTGTGGAGGTAGGAGTATACATTATTGTATAAATGTTGGTATCACAGAGAAATGGCATGACTTAAAGTATTCAATATAAACACTGGACACTTGGCACTGAAGGGGTTGCTTGAGAAGAAAGGGGACTTAAGATTATATAATGGTGACATAATATTGATTTTTGTTTTCCATATAAAAATTTGAAGAGAAAAAAATACTGTCATTTTTAGCATTTCTGTTATTTTGTTTTTGTATATCATTCGTAGGAGTTCATTTAGTAGGTGATTACTTTGATTTATGCCTAAAAGGGTATACATGCTTTTTAAAATTTTTTATTTTATTTATTTTAATTTTTGTGGCTGCGTTGGGTCTTCGTTGCTGCGCGTGGGCTTTCTCTAGTTGTGGCAAGCGGGGGCTACTCTTCGTTGCGGTGCGTGGGCTTCTCATCATAGTGGCTTCTCTTGTTGCAGAGCATGGGCTCCAGGTGCATGGGCTTCAGTAGTTGTGGCTCGTGGGCTCTAGAGTGCAGGCTCAGCAGCTGTGGCACACGGGCTTAGTTGCTCCGTGGCATGTGGGATCTTCCCGGACCAGGGTTCGAACCCGTGTCCCCTGTTTTGGCAGGTGGATTCTTAACCACTGTGCCACCAGGGAAGTCCAAAGGGTATACATTCTTAAAAAGACAAATCATCATGTTGCTTTTTCAGTAGCAGTTTCTGAAACTACAGGTCAGCTATAGAAATCACTTTTCTGTTTTTATTCCTGTGAATTCACTTATCATGGATTCCTTTTGATCCAGCTCTATTTAGGAGAACCCTTTAAAAAATGTCAACAACTCATAAGCTAGTTAGCTCCTAATGCTTTCCTTTATTTGTCTTAAAATTCTAGGAATTGAAGCCCTTTTTTATGAAGGAAGTTGGCAGTCACTTTGATGATTTTGTGACCAATCTCATTGAAAAATCCGCATCATTAGACAATGGTGGTTGTACCCTCACATCCTTTTCTGTTCTTGAAGGAGAGAACAGCCACAGAGCTAAGTAAGTACGAGTAAGTTTCTTTTAATGCACAAGTCAACTCTAGCACAGCTCAGTGGTCTCAATGTGGATTGCACTAAAAAAGCCTGGATTCACACCGCACTACCTTTTATTAGCCATGTATTGCTATTTTAAACAGTTGAAGGGTGGGTTTCTTCATCTTAATACGTGGATTATAACAAACATGCATACCTCATTTAAGACCATGCTGACTTATAAAATAACATAGCTAACACTTGTTGAATGCTTTACATTTAAACCAAACAATGACCCTGTGAGGCACATAATATAACTGCATATTACAGGTTAGGAAACTGAAGCATGAAGCAGTTAAATGTTGTCCAAGATTACACAGTGGGGATTTGAACCCAGTGTCCGTGCTCTTCATTATGTCTCATACTGCCTCTCTATTGTACCCTATACAGTACTTGTAATAAAGTACAGTGCAATTAGTATACGTTATTTTAATTGGTCAGTCATCCAGAGCAGTAGAGGGAAGGCTATCAAAGGCCAGTGTGTGCTAATTTGCCATTTTGTGCTTTCCTTGGTTTTATGCCTCTTTGGTCTCTGTCAGTCTCCTGTTCTGGAGAACTGTTTTGACCAGAATAGCTAACCATAGCAGAAGTGCTAATGGTACTGCAAGAAGCCCTAAAGAAGGTGATAATGTTAGATGTTAAAATGTGAGGTTTTAGTAACTGGAGGTAACCTATTAGATCAGGAGGCTGTTGGGGATTGTTGGAAGACCTTAGGGGAGGGTATCATAAACATCAGTGCAGTTTTGGAGGACAGACCAAAATAGTATGTGAACTGAGTAAAGTATGGCTGGAGGCTTGTCCTTAGAGGTGTTTAGGAGAAGGAAGGGTGGTTGTCAGCCTGTGATGCCAGGAATGCATCTCCATAGGGGCTGGGCTGTGGGGTCTTTTTGAGTGCTGCTCTAGTTAGGTTTGTCTGACATCTCTTCCTTCCTAATCAGATATGTCTGCACCTACCTCACAGCATTGTTCAGAAGAAGCAAATGACAAAACATGCATAAAACCCTAACACAGTACCTGGGTCATAGTGAGAAGGCAGTTAATATTATAAGCTGTAGTTGGTAATATTGCTTTTCTTATCCATAGGTTTACATTTCTTGTAATACTTGAAGTACTCATATTTTAATTTTTTGCTCTTCCCAGAGATCTGAGAGCACCTCCAGAACATGGAAAGATTTTTGTTATAAGGCGATCTCTCTTAGAGTGAGTATTTTTAGTTGCTTTTGTTAATTATTTGCATTTAAAAAAATCAAACTATTCTGATGGTTAGAATCACTGAGTACTCTATGAATGTTTAGTAGCTTTGTTCTGTATTCGTGTAATACATTGGTTTTGATACTTCTTCTTGTACATTTGCCATCTCTTGCTCCTCCTTTCTGAACTTTTGGTTCTGTATCTAGTTTCAAAGGAGGAGTTGGAGGTAAGAATGGTTATTGGTCCTCTGATAAATTCCTTGAAGTTGTGCTGCTAGAACAGAAATTTTCTAATTAGGTAAACCACTTCAAGAGAGTTTCGGTGGTGCTGTCTTCTTGATACATAAATTTTTTTCATCTCTTCTTTGGCTAGCCAACTTTGAGACTTGATAGTTTTCTCAGATTTACTTATTTTAGAACCCCGATTGTGTAGACTTTATGGGGGAAAAAAATAGGAAGTGTAAATTAATTGTGGCAACTTCATTTGTGAACTGAAAATTAAAGGTGCATTTTGAGTAGGTAATGAATGTGTCTTTTGAAATGTTGTCTGAGTTGATTATTTATCATTGATTTCTTCATTAGAATACTGATATTCATGAGTAATGTTCTGTGATTACTGTTTGAGATGTTTTTGGAGTGTGGATTAAGCATCTTCTGAACTGCTTTGAAGTCAAGCCTTTAATATATGGTGTTTTAAAATTAAATATCGATTAATTTTATTGGAACTACATTTACAGTGAGCTGTTTGAGGTGGACCACATCAGAACGATATATCACATGTTCATTGCCCTCCTCATTCTCTTCATTCTCAGCACACTTGTAGTAGATTACATTGATGAAGGAAGGTAAGACAGTATACCTGTTTGCTTAGTTGATGCATGGGGTGTTGGGAGTTTTCACTATATTTAAATTTTGAAAAAAGATGGTTTGGTTAAATTGCTTCAGAAAATCCCAGAGCAGCTGATTTGAGGGTGAGAGTTCTCCCTCCTGTAAAGTACAACTATAAAGAATATTAGAAGCTTTATGACTTTTATTTTTAAAATGGTCTATTTTAATAGACCATCTTAGTAGTTTCTAGGTAGTTTTCCTAAATGAGAGAATATTGTATATATGACTTACCAATTTTTCTGCTATGGTATGCATTTTAGGTTGTTTCTAAAAATAGGTAGTTATTGGAATTTAACGTTTGAAAAACATGATGTTTTTAATATAAAAATCAAATTATAACTAAAAATGACAGTGTGATAATCATACATTGAATTATGTGCTTTATTAGTAAATTAAAATTTGAGATAATCATAATAGTATATTAGATTTTCGAATTGTACTATTTCATTCTGCAAAATCATCTTTTGTACATAAATTATTGCTATTTAAATATTTTAAGTATTTACTTTGCCATAGCGTATTTTAGAGTTTAAAATGTATTAATGTGAGAATCTAATCTTTGAGAAATTCAGAGTCTTGTTACCTTAGGTTAGTAGTTTAGGTATCTTATGTTCAAAGACCATATTATCCTAGAGCTTTTAGAAAATAGATAAATAAGTTGTGAAGCTGAGGCTTAGGAGCACATGTGTTACATCCATGACTTCTGCGTGTTAGTGTTGTTGTGTCTCCTAAAGTTGAAAGTTTTGGGTCTGAAAGTTTTTAATTTTATAAATCAGTGCTTATTAAAAACTCACTTCTGTGTTCTTTCTCTGTGCTTTTTCCCCCCAGGCTAGTGCTTGAGTTCAATCTCATGTCTTACGCTTTTGGCAAACTTACTGTTGCTATGTGGACGTGGTGCACCATGTTCTTATGTACACTTACAGTTCCCTATTTCCTGTTTCAACGCTGGGCCAGAGGCTATCACAGGAGTTCTCATCCAGTAGTCCATTCTCTCTTGCATTGCTTCCTTTTTGTGGTCTTCCAGATTGGAGTTCTAGGTTTGGGACCACTTTATGTTGTATTAGTGTATACACTACCACCGGCTTCCCGATTCATTGTTATACTCGAACAGGTAAGGTTTTGAGTGTTGCTCAATACAATGCTATGCTTAGTTAATAATAATAATAATAATTGTTATTTTTTGTTGTATTAGTTGGATAAATTTTCATATCTGGTTCTTTGTGCTATTATCTATAAAATTAAAGTGTTAAACTACATCATCTTGTCTTTTTTTTTTGCGGTACGCGGGCCTCTCACTGTTGTGGCCTCTCCCGTTGTGGAGCACAGGCTCCGGACGCGCAGGCTCAGCGGCCGTGGCTCATGGGCCTAGCTCCTCCGCGGCATGTGGGATCCTCCCAGACCGGGTCACGAACCCGTGTCCCCTGCATCGGCAGGCGGACTCTCAACCACTGCGCCACTAGGGAAGCTCCATCATCTTGTCTTTTAAAATTCGTTCTACCTTCAGTGTTCTCTGATTCTTGATAATTGAAATAAATTACACTGAACTGTTCTGGATGAATTCAAATTTTGTTCTTGAACACTTTTTGTAGAAGCCATCTAAAGTATAAAATATTTTTATAATTAAAAACTCTACTTTTGAAGTGTCAGATTCATTGTTTTGTCATACAGCCATCTAAAAGATTTATTTTGTTTGTACGCCCTTCAGAATTTTCTGACTTCTATTGGCTATCTGTAATGCTCGGTTTGGCTGTCTGTAATGCTCTGTTTGACTGATGGAAAGGACCGTTTCAGGAGACTTTCTTTGAACAGGCTTTTAATTTCTTAATTTGTAATATACCTGTAACAGATGGTGCTGTTAGTTGCAAAATAATTTGAGTAATAACATGTCTCTCTTTAGAGTTTGTTTTTCATTTGTTTTAGTCCTTAAAAGTGAGTTTGAGTTGGTATATACAAAATTAAGTTCTTTGTGTGTTTATAATCTAGTGCTGTTCTGTGGTTGCTTATAAGAGACAAGACAGTGAAAGAAAATTCATCTTTTTCCCCCACTCCTTTGTAGATTCGTTTGATAATGAAGGCGCACTCATTTGTCAGAGAGAATGTGCCTCGGGTACTCAGTTCAGCCAAGGAGAAATCAAGTATGTAATTCCATAAGTCAAAGGATTATTCACAGGGTATTTCAACCTTTGGTGTTTACTGGGATGGCATATTACATTCTGTAGACATTTATGTTTGATTTTAAATAAAAGGATCCAAAAAAAAAAAGAAACCTGTTGGGAGGGGAGGAAAAAAATGTATATATGATCTGAAAGACCTTCTCACTGTTTCCTGATTGTTCCTGTTTTACCTTTGGTCCCCCAAATTTAAAACATTGATCATTAGACTCTTGCAGCTTCTGCGTTATTTGTATAGAATGTTAATAGAGTCATTACACCCCATGTGCTTACTTTTCTTGAATTGCTGCTTCAAACTCTAGAAGTTATGTCTAAGTCACAGGAGTAACTTAGTTTAGAGGGATTGATAATATTCAACTAATTTAGGAATAAGAAGTCATCATTTTGGGAGAGCAGGAAGAAACAACATGAGCTAAGGAGAGGTAGCTTTTTGTCTTCCCTATTCTGTGCTTATTTTCCTCTTTCAGTTTTGCTGAAAGAAATTGAAGAGCCTCCAGTCTAAGCATAGTTTTCCTTTTCCAGGCACTGTCCCAGTACCCACAGTCAACCAGTACTTGTACTTCTTATTTGCTCCTACCCTCATCTACCGTGACAACTATCCCAGGTAATGGCATTATGAAGCAGAAATGGGGTAGCACCAGGAGTGTGCCAGGAAGGAGGTGGGGTAGGTAGACCAGTTCATGTAGGGCTACAGAGCAGTTGGAATGGGTTTTAATTTTCTTGCTGGCATGGGAAACCCCAAATCGTGATTCTAGCAATCTGATTTTATTTCAGTCATTCTTGACAGAATTGTACAAGTATTTCCTATGTCAAAAATGATGTTCTGGGGGCTTCCCTGGTGGCGCAGTGGTTGAGAGTCCACCTGCCGACGCAGGGGGCACAGGTTCGTGCCCCGGTCTGGAAAGATAGGCCCGTGAGCCATGCGCCCTGAGCCTGCGCGTCCGGAGCCTGTGCTCCCCAACGGGAGAGGCCACAGCAGTGAGAGGCCCGCGTACCGCAAAAAAAAAAAAAAAAAAAAAAAAAAAAAAGATATTCTGTGTGGGAAGATACTGTGAGGACCTTTTTAAAAGTTCATTTATTTACTTTATTTAGAAAGTAATTTTGTTTCTTCCGTTTTAGGACTCCCACTGTAAGATGGGGTTATGTGGCTATGCAGTTTGCACAGGTAAATTTTTTTTTGTGCCTAAGGTTTGTTGGCTGGTGGGAGATGGGGATTTGAATATAATAATAATTTAATATATTTAAAGTGTTGTTTAATTCATGTCTCCTGGGAGCTCTAGAACTCTTTTTTAAAAAAATTTATTTATTATTTATTTTTGGCTGTGTTGGGTCTTCGTTTCTGTGCGAGGGCTTTCTCTAGTTGCGGCGAGCGGGGGCCGCTTTTTCATCGCGATGTGCGGGCGTCTCACTATCGCGGCCTCTCTTGTTGCGGAGCACAGGCTCCAGACGCGCAGGCTCAGTAGTTGTGGCTCATGGGCCTAGTTGCTACTAGGGATGTAGTGGGATCGCAGCATGTGGGATCTTCCCAGACCAGGGCTCGAACCCGTGTCCCCTGCATTGGCAGGCAGATCCTCAACCACTGCACCACCAGGGAAGCCCTAGAACTCTTACTGAAGTCTTTAAACTATTCCCAGTTCAGTAAATGGTGTTTGCTTTGCCAATACATCAAAACTAATTTTCTACAATTAAAAAAAAAATTTTTTTTTTAAGTAAAATAATTCCATTTGGTTACTTCAGTATGCATCTACATTAAATTCCCCCTCCCGTTCTGTTTTTTATTTTATTTTTGGATGTATATCTGTGTGGATGTGGTATGACACTCCCTCAACCCCTTATCAGAATCATAAATCCCAGAAGATCCCATTTTAAAATCTTGTGTCAATCAAATACCCCTTTATGAAATAGGTTCTTTTGTTATGAGTTTCATGTAGCAGGAAAAAGAGATTCCAGAGTCTGATCTTTTAAAAATGCCATCTGGTAAAGGGTTGGGAATAGGTATGGTAGAAATTAGGCTTGAGTACTATCTCTGAAGGATTACAGTTCAACAATCTTATATACTAGTGTTAAATGGAATATATGTGTAAACGTTAGTTTACAGGTCACATATATATGTTCTTTTGAAAGAAAAAAATCACTTTTTATCGTTCCTGATCAAGCTGTCTTTATTATAATTATCTTTGTTGTGTTCCAGGTTTTTGGTTGCTTTTTTTATGTGTACTACGTCTTTGAAAGGCTCTGCACCCCCTTGTTTCGGAATATCAAACAGGAGCCCTTCAGCGCTCGTGTTCTGGTCTTATGTATATTTAACTCCATCTTGCCAGGTAACATGGGTACTGGTTAATTTGGCTGTTCATAAAGTTGCAAGGAAAATAGAAAGCCATTGCGTGTGAGCACCTTTGATTTACCTGCTTTTCGCTATCAACTCATCTATGCATCTATACCCATCTTTAACCTCTTTCCATCTATCTGACAGATGAAGCATCCTTCCAGTCCCTGGCCAATCTTTCCATTTGTCTTCTTTCACTCAAGTTTTGCTTTCTCTGACTGTGGATAGTCTGTATTCATGCTTTATCTTCCCGTTCACTATTCACTGTAATCTTGCTCCTAATCTGACCAGGCCATTGAAATGGCCTTTATTAAAATCTCTAATCTCCTCCAGTAGTTGGCTTAGCCCTTATTCTGTTTGATCTCCATGAAGCATTGGGTGCTGTTGACCACATTTTGAAGTCTGTCTTGCCACTCTCTTATTCTCCTGTCTTTCTGGCCATACCATACATAGCAGTGAACCAGACATACATACTCTTTATTCTCTGGAAGCTTGCAGTTTAGTTATATTTACAGTTTCCTTTACTTTTTCTCTTTCCTCTACCCATTATATGTTGGTATTGTTTTCTGCCATCACGTTCTTTCTTCCTCTCCCTCTCTCCCAGACATCTGCTAGTAATCCTCCCTGATTGCCCCTCAAGATTTACTCCAATACATTATTTTATCTGTCCCTCTGATGGGATATGTGTTACATATGTGTGTCTTCCTCACTAAGCTGCAAATTCCATAAGCTTAAGCATTGTATCTTATAGCCAGTCATAGTCTCTCCTACATTGTCTTATACATAGTAGGCTAATATTTTTTGAAAAAACAAGTGAATGAAAAGGATGGGCATGTAAATGGGTATTTTAAAATATAGTGTAATATATAATATACTAAGGTGCTGTTGAACTTTGTCTCATAGTGGAGATGACATTTAACATTGGGTATTGAAAAATAAGTAGGCATTTGCCGGGCAGAGGGGTGGTGGAAAGTTGCTTCCAGGTAGTGGGGTGGGTTCAAAGGCATGGAGTATTTTGGAATGGCACAAGTTCAGTTGTGGATGATGTTTGCTACATTGGGAGTAGAGGCAGAGGTAAGTTAACCTTGTCACTATTGACATTTTGGGCTGGATAATTCTTTCTTTGGGGGGCTGTCACGTGCATTGTAGGATATTAGCCACATCCTGGCCTCTAACAACTGGATATCATAGCACAAGGCCCGCTTCTTGAATTGTGATAACCAAAAATGTCTCCAGAATTGCCAGCCATCTCCTGGGGGCAAAATCTCTCCCAGTTTTAAACAGCTGGTTTAGAGGAATACACGGCCAGATTTTAAAGGGCTTTTACCACCAAGTTAAGCCATACATCTAGGCATTTCCATTAAAAACAGGCTGGGTCATTTTTGTCTATAAAACCCACTTGGAAGAAAGTTATTTCTTTATTAGGTTAAAATAATTAACTTTCAAAATACACTGTATCATTTCTGGAATGGGTAAGCTGGAATAATAGCTTTTATTTTACAAAATAATTCCAGCTAAGCAAATGACGACATATAATGAACTGATTGGTATGTGAGCTGTTTGGAAAGAGTCTTAATGTTGTTCCTCTTATTTTTAGCTGTGCTGATACTGTTCCTTAGTTTTTTTGCCTTTTTGCACTGCTGGCTCAATGCCTTTGCTGAGATGTTACGCTTTGGTGACAGGATGTTTTATAAGGTAATGTGTACTTGGACTCATCTTCCTTTTCACATTTTATTTGTGTACTCGTTGTTAAATATTTGAGCATTGTTAGCTACTAGCTTTTTAACATAAATGTTGTGAAATCGTTTTCTTCCACAGGTTTTACCAATATTAAGTCTGAAATTCGATTACTGATTTAAGTGGCGTAGTCTTGTCTTTTATTCTACCTCTAAATCTGCTCCCTTAGTACCGCATTTGGTTCCTGCTGGATCCTGTATTGGTGATTACAGTGGAAAAGCAGGTGTCCAGAGGGCATTCTGAGACTTTGCTGACTTTTTATTCATTTGAAATCGGCTGTCTGGTGCTGTAGGAGTGATCTCAGCAAATTATTCTATTTAAGATTGTTGAACAGTTCATGAAGGAAGTAACTTTTCCCTCCTTTATTTTGAAAGGCATTAATTCTGCTTCAGATAGTATTCTTACACTTCCAAAGTTGGAATTAAGTTGTAGAGTAGAGGCAGAGTGGTTCACAGTGTTCTGTAATCCCACCTGAAGCCCTCTAGAATTTTGTCTGTTCATGTTTTGGCAACACTCCAAGCCTACCCCTCCTTTCTCAAAGAAGCAGTGAGTGCGTGTTGCAAATTTTATGTCTTATTCCATTGGTCTGATCTTAAGAGTAAGAAACAGGATATATATAAAGGAGCACCAGGACTTGGAGGTAGCCACCATCTCACTCGTGGTACAACTTAAATTTTGCTGTCTATGATACCAGCAAACTGCTCTTGAGGGTTATCACCCTATCTAAGTCTGTGTGACCTTAGAATTCTCTCATTGTGTTTTAGCAAGGTAAGGGGGATTTACTGATTGTTATTTAGATGAACATTAGATTTAATGATTATGTTGTGTATCTTCCATCATAACTTGTGTGATAAAGAGATAGTGAACCTGGGAACTTAATCATCCATAAAACTAGGATTAATGTCACATTGAACACTAATAACCAAAATGCCTTTGAAGATTTTTCTGACATCAGTGTATGGACTAACAATTTATCATAACACACTCTAGGTGTTATATTATGTGTGTATATTCCCTGGGAGTAGGTTTTGCTTTGGTTCTGTGTATATGTATACCTTTGCTTTTTTCCTTAGGATTGGTGGAACTCCACATCATACTCTAACTATTACAGGACCTGGAATGTGGTGGTCCATGACTGGCTATATTACTATGCTTACAAGGACTTTCTCTGGGTAAGCAGCGAGATTTAGTTAATGTTGTTTAAGAAATGGAGATTCTTTTCCAGAAAGTATTACTATTGTGCAGCTGGAGGAAGTTATACTTAGTTGTCTTCAATTCTCTTGTGAGCCGTTAATGTCTTAAGAAACCTTCTGCTTTGAATAGCACTGCTTAGAGACCAGTATCTACAGTTACTAGGACTAAGACCATGTTTTTGCTCTGGATTTTGATTTTACATGACTACAAAGCAAGAATGCGTGCAGGCATTTGGAGAAGTTGAAATGATCCACCAGTAATGGATCATTTTGTTGGAGTCTCATTGCCAGCAAATAATCTCCCCTAGCTTTTTCCATTTGTTTTTTTGTTTTTCTTCCTTTGTTAGAAGTGGAGAAACCACCTATGTTTGGATTTACAGCTCTCCGATATAGATTATTAATATATGTCTTTGAGACATTCTTTAGAGCATCGCTTATTTAGACTGAAGAAACGTAGTCTTGAGTCTCATGGTTGATTAACGTTGGTATCTCTGGATTGCAGGTTTGAATTGTTAAATAAGGGCACTATTTGGCTAAATGACAGTGTGTTGTGGTGCAAATAGCACAGTATTCGAATGCTCTTTCATTTATAAATGTAATTTGACTTATGGAGGCAAGTCCCTTGTTTCTAAATCTTAGTTTTGTTACCTGTAAAAATGGTACCTGCCCAATCTACCGTACAATGCTACTCTAGATTTGATGTGTCCGTTTAGCAATGAAAACTATGTTTTGTCAACCATAGTGAGTTACAAATATAAGTTATTAATGTTTTTGAAAATATGCTCGATCCTTCAACATTAATGGTTTTGAAAATATGTCATTTAGTAAAGTAAGGATTTTTAAGCATAGATGTTTTTGTCATTATTTTAGTACATTGGATTACTCCAAGTAGACTTAGAAAATCAAATATGAATATAATAGGTGCCTTTAGTGTGTGTTAATTATAAGTCTTATGTACTTCATGTTTAATTACTTACTTTCTGAAAATTGCCTCTAATATTTTCCTTTTACCCTAGTTTTTCACAAAGAAGTTCAAGTCAGCTGCCATGTTAGCTGTCTTTGCTGTGTCTGCTGTAGTGCACGAATATGCCTTGGCTGTTTGCTTGAACTTTTTCTATCCAGTGCTTTTCGTGCTCTTCATGTTCTTTGGAAGTAAGTATCTTGGCATCTCCTGAGTACTGGGTATTATGCTAAAAGAAATTTAGAATATAAAATCAAAGTAGAAAACTAGATAGTAATACCATTTCAAGGCAATGTTTGTTTATCAGATGGTAAGAACATTAATTTTGAGTAATTATGTACAACTCTGTTGCAGGATGCTTACACTTTGATGTAGAGAAATGAACTAAATAAGCTCTTGAAGACTGTTGATAACACTGACTTGGTAGCTCATGAAAACTATAAACAACCTTGCCATTCTTAAACTCTGTTCAGTGTTCACTCTCTGAAAAAAACTAACCCTTTTTTGGGTGGGGTGGAGAGGGACAAGTTAGAATAGGAATGCGTCCATGAAATATGTTTTCACCTGTTCTGAATACTGATTGCTTTCCAAATAATCACTGATTAATAAATTTAAACAGTGAAGCTTCATTTGTACTTATGGGACCAATGGCCAGCATAGAACCTGTATATACACAGTTGATGCTGTTTATGATAACTAAATGATTGTAGCAGATATCTGAGGCCCCTCATCTCCTGGTAGATTTTGTTTTGATGACTATATATATTTTTTGTTGTTTTCCTAACTTCAGTGGCTTTCAACTTCATTGCCAATGATAGTCGGAAAAGGCCAATTTGGAATGTTCTGATGTGGACTTCCCTTTTCGCGGGCAATGGAGTCCTCCTGTGCTTTTATTCTCAAGAGTGGTATGCACGTCAACACTGCCCCTTGAAAAATGTGAGTCATCAATCAGGCTGGAGTGGTGAAGTAACCTATTTGTCCCCTGATTGTGAGGGTTGGTGGACAGTGTTAAGGGGAAGGGAGTAGTGGAGATGGTGATAAATTAATGTTAAGGGGAGGGAAATGTGGAGTAAAAGCAGTAACTTATCTTACTGCACTGTCCTTGAACTTTTTCTTTTCTTTGGTTTTCTTCCCATTGAACTCTCCTAGTTCTTGGTTCTCTCTCTCTTTTTTTTTCTCTTTATCTGATTTTTCTTTAGCTCCTTCTAATAGTCTTCCTGGGCCCTGAAAATGTAGGTCTTCTTCAAGGTTTTCCCAGTGGCATGTGTATCCACCCCCACCCCCAAATATGCATCTTTTACCTCTTCCTTCCCGAAGTAATAAACTCTATAAAAATGTCCAGCTAGACTCATATGCCTAGGAGCCCATTTCCCTTTTTTTGTTGTATTTTTCTTGTTTGTAATTTTGTAAGAGTCTCATTCTTAGAGCTTTAGTTTTCGGCTGCTTGTAGAAAACTCCCAAATATTTGGGGTGGGGGGCTTCTTGATACATCTGCTTGGGTATTTCTCACGGATACCTATAACTGAAGATATTTAAAATCAGATTAATCAGTTTCTCTCCCAAAGCTTCTGTCCGCCCTGATTTTGCTATGCTGCCCTCGCATCCCCTCCTTATTTCCTATGAGTCCCCTTTGTGCATTTGAACTAACTGCTCTGGACTCTGGACTCTGTCTCTGGTCACTCTACTCTTTGCACTCAGATTTCACCTGTCAGATTTTATCAAGATCTGATTTGGATGCAGTGTCGTCCATGAAGCTTATTTATTTATTTATTTGGTTGGTTGGTTGGTTGGTTTCGCTGGGTCTTAGTTGCGGCTCGCCGGCTCCTTAGTTGTGGCACATGGGCTCCTTGCTTGTGGCATGCGAACTCTTAGTTGCGGCATGCATGTGGGATCTAGTTCCCTGACCAGGGATCGAACCCAGGCCCCCTGCGTGGAGTCTTAACCACTGCACCACCAGGGAAGTCCCCATGAAGCTTTTTAAAATTCCTGCTCTAGTCTCTTTTCTATTTCTGAACTTTCATAGTATTTCATCTGTTCCTCGTTTAGATGATTCAGTAATTTAAGCTTTGTATTATAGTAATTTGTGTATATTATCATCCTTAACCTACCACCATTTAGATTTAGGGCTACTAAAAATAGGACTTTGCTAAAAGAAAATGCAAGATACAGAAAAAAGGCAGTGCCTCTTTAGAATTTGGTCAGGAGTCCATGCAGTTGTGTAGAGTTTACTGGACCTAGCTTCATGTAAAGCTTCTAAATCAAGTAAATCTGTGCTATAGATAAAAATGATGAACATCTTTTGAATTAGTGAGCTGCTTATAGCTTGAAGGTTACTGAAATGCTGGGAGGCATTTTAGAGATGTGCCATGTGTAACATCAACACCCCCTATCTACCCCATATCTCATACGTACAGTGCACACAAATAAACTACTCTTCCATTCTTTTTTTTCCCCTCAAAGCCCACATTTCTGGATTACATCCGGCCACGTTCCTGGACTTGTCGTTATGTGTTTTAGAAGCTTGGACTTTGTTTCCTTCCTTGACTGAAGATTGGGTATTTTACCTGATTTGGGGCCACCATCTGTTTCCAGCCATTACTGAAGTTATCTGTGTTATTTGGACCACTCCAGGCTTTACAGATGGCTCACTCCATTACTAGGTCACCTGAAGCTGAGCTGTTAGAAGTTTCCTGGAAGCTTGTACACTTTTAAGCAGTTCTTAATTTTTTCCTTTTTGGGAGAAGGGAGACTTGTAGCTGATATAATGACAGATTTTTGCTGGGTCATATCAGCTTAAACCTCAGAAATTCTGTTTTGTTTCTTGATTGCATCTAATTAGAGACTAAACATCATGTTTTCTTGGCCACTGAATTAGCCAAAACATTGATGAAGAAATCATTTAAGTACCCCTGGCTTAGAAATTTTTTCATGTGCATTGTTGGAATGTATGCTCATTAACCATGCAATTGGGAAAGAAAATAATGTGGAATGTTTTGCTATTTCTAGTAAAGAGAAAATATCTATTTTTCCAAAGATAATCTTGTTATATATCCTAATTTGTATTTTTTTTAAAGTTCAGTTCTATTTTTATCTTGTTTTTGCTATACAGTGTAGGTCATGATATCTGTGAAGCAAAATTATCCCTTTCACCTTGAATTCTTGAGTTTGCATCCATAATATTATATACTGAGGGGGACAGAAGTAGGAAGGGAAAAAGAAGTGGCACAGGACAAAGAAACATATTTCCTCTTTTAACTTCTAAAGTAATTTTTAAAAAGAACTTGCAGAGTCAATAATGTGTTTAAATTATTTTATTGTGGAACTTATGTGGAAGATAACTTTTGTTGTTTAAACTTTCAGGTAATAACTTCTTTGAAGTTATTTAGAAGTAACCTTTGGTACAGTTATTTTATCTAATAAATACTGACATGAATTATTTTTCAGACTAGTAAGTCTGTTGCATAAGTATTAATCACCACCATTAAAGGGAATATTAAAGATCCAGAAGCTGGCTTCTGCATTTGCTCAATTATTATACTTTTTTTTCAATTATTATACTTCTAATGGTAGTGTACTTTAGTTGCAATAAATTAATAGGTGATCATTTTCAAGAAAATGTACTTTATTGTATGATGTTCCATGTTATCAGATGCCTATAGCTAATACAGTGTGGTGTGTAGGAATTATTTTGGTTGCTTGAATGACATATGATTATGTTGGTAAAGACTGAGCTTTGGAAGGGTTTTTGAAGACCATGTAGGTTCAACCCAAAGAAGGGAGGCTTATGAATTACCCAAAATTTGAGAAGCAGCCAACTTGAGAAACTATCTTGGTATTCTAGCAGCCCTACTGCTATCCAGAAAGTTTTGAGAAATCTTTTTCAAATTGTTTTCAAAAAGTTAGTTTGAATCTCACAAGAAGGTAAGTAAAGTTTCTTAATAGTCACAACTTAATTTGTACCACAAGTTCTCAGCTAAGTTTCCCATACCTTTGGTCCAGTTGAGTTTGGGCAAATCCAACCTCAACAGGCAAAAGTGTACCTCAAAGAAGGTTATTTTTAAAAGGGTATTCCAGGATTTCCCTCGTGGCACAGTGGTTAAGACTCCACCTGCCAATGCAGGGGACATGGGTTTGAGCCCTTGTCCAGGAAGATCCCACATGCTGCGGAGCAACTAAGCCCGTGCACCACAACTACTGAGCCTGCTCTCTAGAGCCCAGAGCCACAACTACTGAGTCCGCGTGCCACAACTACCGAAGCCCGCGTGCCACAACTATGCACGCCTAGAGCCTGTGCTCCACAACAAGAAAAGCCACCACAGTGAGAAGCCCGCACACCACAACCAAGAGTAGCCCCTGCTTGCCGCAACTAGAGAAAGCCCGCACACGGCAACGAAGACCCAATGCAGCCCAAAATAAAATAATAAATAAATAAATAAATTTTTTTAAAAAAAGAAAAGTAATGAGTTTAAAATTTCTCTCCTATAAAGTATTAATGACAGTAATCATTAGTTTGGGTGTGTTATCTAAGAGAACAACTAATATCTCTAACTTTGTCATAAATTTGTTAGAAGCTCTTATTCTCAATTCTGGGTAGTGAGGAAAAATGGAGGGGTTTTTTGTTTGTTTTTGGTGGATTAATTACTGCAATTGCCTAGGTAAAGTTGCTTCCTCATGTTAGAGCTTAATTAGAAAATTGAGGCTGCTTCTACCCCTCTCGGTAACCACAACGTTTGGAAGCAAAAGGAGTAGTGGAAATGTTTTTTCCGTTTTCAATAGTTACAGGGTGAAAGTGGATGATATTTGCAGGTTAAGAAAGTACAGTGTGTAAAGTAAGTATTCTATATTTGCATACACAGATTATGTTGTAGAAGTAATTCATTTAGTATAGGCAATTTTTATCATAGTTTAAAAATTATACTTACCTGAAAAATTGAATCCTGAAGTCTTTATAGGAAACCTAACAACATTTATGTTTTAGAAGTTGGTCATGTGGGCTACATAGCATGAATTGTTGAAGTCTTTTATGCAAAAATATTTTTGTTTTGTGCGGTCATACGTAATTTTGAGTAAAGTTCATTGTTTTCTTTGGAGGAAAATAACAGAGATGAACTAACATAGCTGTAGTAAGCAGGTGGCCTGGTGTAGTATAGTAATTTATACATGTTACTTTTGAAACCTTTAAAAAAAAATTGTTAGGCTTAAGCCCAGCATGTAAATCATGCTGCTTCTGGTTGAGACAGGGATGCAGGGCTGGAGCCATTGTTTGGTTATATCCATTTCCTCTTACCCCCAAATACCCAGTTTGAAAACCACTGGTGTGGTGAAAGAAGTCCATGCACAGCCTTGTGATTAAGATAGCCCCATACTTACTAGCAGTGGCACCCAAAGTTGCTTAATTTATCAGAGCCACAGTTTTCCTCATCTGTAAAATGGGGATTAATAACTACCTCATTCGGTTGCTGCAAACCACTAGCCCAGGCAGAAATAGAGCCTCGTTATTTTCTTACTCTCCATAAATTCCAAACCTAAATTCTTACTATTATTTCATTGGAACCCTTAAAAAAAGACCTGGGATGGCGGTGGGGGGTGTTTCAAATGCTGCACACTCCCAAGAATATATACTTTTAAATAGACTCTCAGGCTGATGGTGAATTGGCTTTGCACCTTGATAGATACAGGCTCTCACATAATAGAATTGGTAAGAATTCAACAGCATTGCTAAAAGCATTCTTGTTTCCAGCTCTCCAAAATTATTGATACTTTCAGATTTATCTGTTTAGCATTAGGGTAGAGTGGCAAGCTTCTGAAAAGAAATGCTTTTACCTAAGTATTAAATCGTGTTTAGAACTAGTGTGTATACTTTATACTTAAGTTTTAGAAATTATGGAGAGGACGGAAGCTAATGAGGCCTTACTTCTGCCAGTGTAAGGATGCTTCTAGTCTTGGAAGGCAGAATGAATTTCTTAATGGAAGATAGTTCAATGACTTGCTTGCTGATGCAAAATTTCATGTAACTTATGTAGTTTATATAATAGTTATATATGTGTGTGTGTGTGTATATTTACTATCAAAGAAAGACCTGCCTTGGACATTCTTTCACATATCTTATCTCTAGGCTTTATGATTATGGTTCAGAAATGGAGGGAACTAGGACGTAAATGTTTTGAGGAATAAAATGAATATTGTTAGTGAAGCTTATGTAAGTATTTGATTAGTTTCTAACATCACTAAAGTCTCTATCAGGTCACAGAGTGTTGGAAGCCAGTTTATAAAGGAGGTAGAATACAGCTACTCTGGTTGCAGTGGAGAGGAGTCCTTACTTGGTCCACCCGTGCTTTTCCCCACCCTGAATTTAATGTCCAGTGTGAAAATCGGTAGATACTGATAAAATTCATAAGCTTTAGGTTAGTAGGAAAGCTGTACAATCTGTAAAATCCTTAATAAAGTTTCCTTCTTTTCTTGTGAAGTATAAAGACTTTTAAATAGCTAATTTGGATTTTAGAAAAATAAAGGCTTAATTTCAGAAGTTACGCAGTTTTTTAAAAAATCTAAAACTGTCTCCGTACTCTTTTTCTAAATGCTTTCTTCTAGCCTTTATGCTAGCAGATACTTCACCATGCTTTGTGGTGTTCTTTTAGTTTGTCTTAATGAGATGGTAGGTGTATTTCTCTTCTCTTAGGGATACAGTTTGAATTCCCATGTACAAACATGCCACTTGGGTGGGAAGAGAGCTGAAGCCCTAGCCAAGGCTCTGCCATTGGGGCCAGTAAGGCAGCTTCCTTCCTGTGTTAGTACCTTTCCAGCATGTGCATTAAACCCATAGTGTTTTAAGAGCTGCAGAAAAGTCCCGGGAATCTGAAGTTGTTATAAGGGTTATCCTATAATTAACGATGTTTTTTCTAATTCGTTCTTGTTTGCTCTTTTCCTGAATTACAATTCCTCCTCCCCCACCCCCTATATCTTTGTCTAATCACTGGTATCATCACTTTGTTTAGCACACATTGTATTAGCATTAACATTTTTTAAACTTTAAAAAGAATACATACAAAAGGGCAAAATAATTGCATATGTGAAGAATGTGGTAAATAAATTTGGAAAAACACCATGTCTCATTTTAAAAGTAACTCAAGTTTGATATTAACCCTATATTAACTATGTATTTCATGTTCATAAATGGTTTTCACCTTAATAGCACACAGCTTTATATGCTGAATATAGCCAATAATTTTTATTGGAGTATAGTTGATTTACAATGTTGTTAGAATTTTCTTTTTCAGGATAATGGAGGGAGCCACGTTACAGATTACAAAGAAATAATGGGGCCCAGTTGTGATTTTGTATTTGCATCAAGAAAAGCAGTGACCCTGGTTCTTGAGCCTCCTTTCTTTCTGTGGTCATTATTTGTTGCTTGACTTCTTTTCCTGTTGGCCTTTTAAAACTTGTGAATGGGTATTTCTAAAAGTGTACTGCCCACCCCGCTCCCCAGTGGGTAGAAATGGATTTAGGTTTCTAATGAAAAGAGAAAATCTGTTGACTGGGAAGTGTGCCTTTTCAAACAAGGCTTGGGAAAACTAATTTTGAAGCAAGATAGGTTGCTTCCCTTCCCTCCAAAGAATCTCCTTGTAATAGGAAACTACTATGAGTAGGATTTGACATCACAACGTTCTATACATAGAAGCATATATCATAGTAACAGCCAAGAAGTACTGAGTTAGCCTCCATGGTCTGGCTCTACCCACCTGCCACTGCAGTGCCAGAGGAGTGGGAAGGGGGAAGTCCCTTCGGAAATTAGATGTGCCCCTGATTCTTGGACCAAGTGACTATTCTTTGCCACTGGGGGTGAAGCCACAGTGTGGCAATTTTCCTTGATGAATTTACTAAAGTTTAGGATCTTGTCCTTTTAGGCTGAGCTTGTGTTTGGACCCAAGTTAACTGCATTCATGAATCTGACTTATAGAACTGGAACACCAGTTTGTAAATGTAGCATGAGAAATTGCACTTGGGGTGGCATACTCAGGTTGGCCATGGTCACTAAATTTACTCTCTTGCAGAAGCCCAGCTTACTGTACAATGAGAAAGATGAATTTTTTTGCCTAGATGGCATCAACACCATGTGATGCGCACTGAAGATAGGCTGTGAACCAGACAAAAAGCCTGTTTCTTCCTCAAGGCACAGCCATGTTGTTACCGAAACACAGCTGTGTTCCTGACTCACAGTGAGGCCAAACACCACCAAAACGCTGGAGTTTGGGACAGAGAAATGTTTATTGCAGGGCCATGCAGGGAGATGGGTGGCTCATGCCTTAAAAAAAAAACCCAAATTCCCTTAAATCTTTCAGCAAAGCCCTTTTACAGGAAAGATGAGGGAGGGGCATGGTTAGTTGTTGCAGACTTCTTGGTGTCAGATCCTTTGTTCTTGAGGTCCGGTCTTGGTCAGGTCACGATGTTCCTGTAACATCGTGGGACTTAACAGGGACAGGTTTACAGGGACATAACAAATAAACGTTATCC